CCTGCCCACCCCCCGCGGGCAGAGAGGAATGCAGCCGGGCAGAGAACACAGCCCAGAACACGTGTGGCACCGAAACTCTTGGGAGAGGAAAACAAGTCACAGAGGTGTGACAGGGTGACACGGGCAGGGCCAGGGAGCTTGGGCTGGGAACTGTGTGTGCTGCCACCACTGCAGCAGAACAGAGGGGCAGGGGGTGTGCGAGGGGAAAGGGATGGAGCTGGAAACCACAGCTGTGATTTAACGGGCGACAGGTAACCTGGGACGCCTGAGCTAAGGAGCTCCTGGCACTCAGCAAGGTGGTTTGGGTGATGAGCTGCAGAGGGAAGAGGTTCAGAGCAGGAAAATGCACAGGTATCACACTCGTTCCCTGTTTCACCCCGAATTCCCTAATTCCCAGGGGAACTGGCCTGGCCCAACCCTCCCCAGCAGCTCCAGCCCCGGCTGTGCCCAATGCTCCCATTTCACACACACCTGGGGCAGCTCAGACAAATCCAAACCAAGAATCCACGGGTTTCCATGACAGTTTATTTCTCCAAGCCAGGCCCTGGGGGAGCAGCGGTGCATAGGCTGCGATGAACCGACACGGAGAAGATTTAACAATTTCCTCATTTAATAAGTGATTTTCACTACATGATATTGTACAGTTATCTGTCCAAAAAAGATCAAGAGGTTTTAAAAAACGTGATTCTGTGAGATTCATATAAACGGCTCTGGGCGGCGCTCCCGGTCGCCCCGCAGAGCTCGAGGGGTTCCCGGGCTGCAGCCCCAGCACCGCTCTGCTCCGGGACACGCTCCGAGCGCCACCGACTCTCCGTGCCAGGCCCTGCCACCACCTCCTCTCCTCTGCGGGAGGAAGGCTCGGGGGGCCCAGCCAGCACGGGGGGAGGGTACAAACGGCTTCCTAAGCGAACTTTGGCTTCAGGAAAGAGACACAAACACCGAAAATCATAATGGCTTTAATCGTCAGCGGGTACGGAGAGGGCTGTGTCTGAAGGAAATGTACATCCTACCGGTGGCGCCGGCGAGGCTCAGGGTTACTCCTAGTGTCCACAGCAAGAAACTAACGTGTACGTGACGAGACGTAAAAGAAAAAGCAATCCCTTTAAAACCGACTCGGACATAAAAAAGTTCACAGTGGTTTGTACGCAGAGGATGCGATCGCGGACAGGGACGAGTCTCGGGCACCGCAGTGCCCCTGGAGACCCCGAGAGGGACAGGCCCCGCGGGGAGCGACCAACGTCTCATCGCCGCCGCAGCCAGCGAACGCCTCTCATCCAATGGAAGGAAAACCACAAACACGTCACCTATTCTGAGCAAGCTGAACAGCACACATGACAGTTTAAAAATGGAGGGTACAGACTATGATACAAGTCCCAACGAGGCAGCGCAAAGTGCCTATTTCTTGGCTTGTTTCGTGATCATACCCCTGGGAGGTGTCACGGGTCTGCTGGAATTGGGCTTCTTCTTCTCTGCAGGCTTCAAGATCTGCAAAGACATCGGGACACTGGTCACTGAGGAGGAAGCTTAATCTGCCTTCCAGTCCAACAGTCCACTCCCAAAGGTATTACAGACCTGCCCTAACTGTCCTGCCCCAGCCCATGCTGCCAGGAGCAGGCTGAGAGCCAACAGCTCTGCCTGGGAGACTTCATTCTGGAGTGGATGAGTTCAGCTCCCACACCACCAAGGGCTTATCACATTCCTGCAGATGTGAGTGCAAACACTGCCCTGTCTGCAGGTCACAGTGTGAAGAGCCATCGCTTTGTAACAGTGAATCCCTGGCCCAAGCAGCACAGCTGTAACCTGTGCCCTCACTCGCTGGAGGGAAATCCTCAGACAACATACCTGGAAAGAGCACATTAGTGTTTCATCCACACTCATCATGGCACCCGCGTTGTCGAATTCTCCACAGTAATTTGGGGCCGAAAACAGAGTTACCAACTGCCTCTTTGCAAAAAACTCGTATCCATCTTCAACCACCTTTAGAGGGAAGAGAAGCGTTAGACTCTGTCGTGCCAAGCTCAGCAGAGGCAGCAGCTGAAAACCTGCTGTGTTTAAGGAACACAAGTCCAAATGTTTACACCAAAACAGGGGCACCCCAAGAACCAGTGCGGCAGCCGAGCCCATCAGCCATGAGAAGCCCAGGGCTCTGTCAGGACCAAGATCCTGCTCAGGGCCACAGCTCTTACGCATTACAAAATAAAACGTTCACAACGAGGGTCATTGAAGAGGGAGAGGCTGTTCAGAGATCAGGGATCTGATCCTGCCAGACAGGGACAAGTTGGCTGGACAAGACCCTCAGCACCTTGGGCTGACACGGGGCAGTTCCACACTGAGCACGTGTGTGCAGGGCTGGACCAGGTGACCCCAGATCGTTCTACGGCTCAAAACTGACATACCTGATGAGCTCTGCATATGAGATCCAAGTCATGTTTATGGAGAAACTTCGCAACCACTTCAGCACCGAAGGTGAAGGACACTCCCCTGTCGTTCTCACCCCAGCCCAGGACATCCTTGTCCGGGTCCGACCACAGCAGGTCGCACAGCAGACCCTGGTCGGGAACGTCCGTGGGACGCATGATCCGTCTGATCTGCTCCATGGACTGCAGGTCTGGGGACAAACCTGTGCAGGGGAGGCACACACAGCCACAGCTCAGCTGAGCTCCACGGGACTCACACTTTCATCAGGACCACAGAACTGCTGCACCTCACAGCCCTGCGGTGACGGCAGCTCACAGGGTCCTAATGCAGCATTTTTAAAGTCTTGGTGGCAGAAGACAAGCCAATTTCTAGGAGATTTGCTGGAGCAAGATAAGCAAAGCCACTTCCGTGTTTCACAGGATTATAGCAATCTCACTGCAATATTTTCCAAGTGAGAGAAGAGCAGCTAAGCACCAGAGACACTCACAGGTGTTTGCTGCCACGACCAGGCCCAGGAAGATGAAACACAGCACCAAACCACTCACACCATCTGCCACTTAGGTGTGTCCCTGGGCAACTCTAAGGACTTGCAAGTGCTAAACCACTGACGGTGCACTGTGTACTTCAGGCCCTCAGAAAGCTGCGTGGAGCAGATATCACGTGGCATAAGCCAATCCACAAGTGAAAGCAGTCAGGTCAGACAGGGCTGGAGCAGCCTGTAAACCACCCCCAGGAGCCTCCCAACCCAAACCGCCGGTGCTGCCAACACACGTGTTCTCAGGACAGGCAGCAAACTCCAGGTGGGTTTGGCCAGGTGTGGAAACCCTGCAAGGACTCTTTACCCAGAGCACAGGCTGTCCAACAGGCCTCTTGGTGGGAAAGCAAATGCAGATCATGGTGTCTGAGGCTACAGAACCACCAGCTCCATGACTCAGAGCTGACACTTAGCAAGCCCAACCCTCACACACAAGTCAAGGCAGAAATCCCTCAAGTTTTGAAGTCAGCAACGTAAACACAAACTTGCCATGGCTGATACTGAGCACTGCAGCTGCTCAAACATCACTTACCCCCATGACAGCAGAATATCTTCTCATCCACAATAGCTGCAATTGGTAAACAGTTAAAACAGTCTGTGAAGGTTTTCCACAGCTTAATGTTGTATCTTCTCTTACCTAGGAGAGATTGGGGAGAAAAAGTCAATAAGCTTTTCTAGCACAACCACAACCAACCTAACATGGCTGACTCAAGTGCACTGAGACCTGCAGAGAGTCAGCACTGAAGCACATACACAACATCCCTTTTCTGAGACCCACTGACAGACAGTACCAATCTGTTCCACAGAACAGCGTCCCACTGCTGGCACCCAGGGCCTCGAGCCCCAGATCTGCTCTGGAAAATTACCCCTTGGGGGATCTGATCCATTTCAGACCCTTTGCTGTGTCCTTCAGGGGAACACAGCAATTCTTGAAAAGCAGATTCTCTTTAAAATTCTGCTTTACCACATTGGTGTGTCTCTGTAGAGACAAGACTGAAAAATGAAACCGAGTTTCACCAGTTTCAAAGGGACTCTCCCAACAGACACGAACCCTGAACATGTTTGTGCTGTATGACTAAGCTGTGATTAATCTCCACAGAGACAGCTCTGAAATACCACACATCTTTGTTTCTCACTGGAGGAGAACAGGACATGGAGAGCACATCTTATAAGCTGTGTCCCACCACACAAGTTGTGACGTGCTCCAGTGCACAACTAACTGCACAGCATCACCTCCTCTGCCTGGTGCGGATTACATCACATCCTTGGGAACAGGACACAGGTCTCTGCTCCGGCCTCGGGGCGTGAGCAGCGTGACGTTACAGGCCTCAGCACACAGCAGGCTGCAGGCACTGCAACACAGCCACAGCAAACATCAGCCCATTCTCAGAGCTGGTTTGCCACACGAATACATCCCCATCACCCCTCAGATGGAAGAGGTGAACTTCCGTGAGCACCTCAGGTTCAATTTTCTCACTTCTCATGAGAGGAGAACTGTCAGTTAACACAGCAGGCAGTAAATAAAATCCCCCCCTCGCACGCTGTGCTGTACCATGAGGACCAGGGACAGGCCAAGGGCCCCTGAGTGCACAGAGGGCACTGGGGAAAGGAGCACCCAGCACGGCCGCCCCGCTGTGCTTACATTCACTTACATTCATCGTAAAACCCATAAATTCTGTTGATGCTGGCACACTCGTGGTTCCCTCTCAGGAGGAAAAAATTCTCTGGGTATTTAATTTTGTAGGCCAGTAGAAGACAAATGGTTTCTAGGGACTGCTTTCCTCTGTCGACGTAATCACCGAGGAACAGGTAATTGCTCTCCGGTGGAAAACCTCCGTACTCGAAGAGCCGGAGCAGGTCATAGTACTGTCCGTGGATGTCACCTGCAACGAGCGAGACACGACACCCGAGTGACCCCTCAGTGCACACCCTGACTGGCTCTGGAGAGAGCAGCTCAACGATGCAAGGGAGAGAAGGGTGAGCAGCGAGACAGTGACCGCAGCTGACGTCAGGTGACAGTCACCGCGCACCGAACGGTCCCACCCTGACACCCCTGCAGTGCAAGGGTTACCCACCCCCAGCAGCAGTGTGTGGCTCCCTGGAAACACTCCAGACACCAAGAAACCCACCATGGTTTCTGGACACACTCAGTAGTGCAAACGCCAGCAGAGACGCTGCATTGAAAGTGGCATCAGTATTTCTGCCTCTGGTTTAAATCGTGAGTTTGTTTCTGACATCAGAACACTGAACCATGACCTGCCAGTGTTAGAAATGTTGAACAAGCTCCTCCAGTCTGAAGCAAGTCCTGAGTGTCAGGGCAGGACACAACACTGCTGGAAGCTCTCAGCACTGCTCACTGCTCACTGCTCACGTTGACACCCTTCACTGTCCTGGAGAAGCAGCTGTGCACACACCGAGCACTGCCGTGTGCCAGGGTGGCGCCACCAAACTGGAGTCACTCCAGGAGACAGCACAGAAAGGTGAGTTTCCAGCAGGATTTTAGTGCTGTCAGACCACTGTGCAACTCTGCACAGCAGACAACAACCCACTGCAGCTCCTCACTGCTTCCCCTCGTCCAGTCACGACTGGGCCACTGGCCAACTGATACACAACTCCTGTCCGCAGCTCCACGTCAATCCCTTTCCCAGCACCTGGTGAAACTGGACCAGTTACTTTTTGGGTTTGGGATACTTTGGTCCCCGCCCCAATTCCCACATGTTACCTCCTCCTGCTCACTGCCCTAGGCAGGGTTTGATTCCACCTCTTGCTACCATCACTATTGGTTACACTGTAAATAAGTGAAAGTAGCATCTGGTACCTGTTCTCTGCCTGAGTTCTGCATTTACCTGACACACCCCAAGGATCAAACCAAAACTGACAGTACTCACCGCAGATTTTCAGTGGAGCTTCAAGTTCCAGCAGAATAGGCTGACTCAGAAAGATTTCTCTGGATTTCAAGCACAATCCTCTGATTTCATTCTCTTGCAGTTGGACGTTCTTGCCTGGTTTCGATCCCCGCACTGTCGGGAGGAGTCAGAGTCAGTTATCAAACCCAAGGACATCCCTGGTGTTATTTCAGAGCCTGAGTAAGTGCCAGTGTAGCAGTGCATGAGCAGGTACCAGGGACAATCAGTCTGCTGAGGTGACACGGCACCAGGGAAAGGGCAGTGTGTTCTGTTCCAGTCGTATGTTCCTTTCATCTAACACAGCCCATGGCTCAACACTTCCCCTGTTAAATGTCAATCTGAAATAGCATCACTTTAGTTCCCTTTAGTTCCAAAACCATCTTGGACAATGTGCCTATATATACCCTTCCTGAGGAAGCAGCTCCACACTGTGCTCTGCAGAGCTGTGTGAGCTGTGTGCCCCAAGCCAGGCCCAAGAGCAGGGACACCAACAATAAACCCTGGGCTGCCTCACTCTGCACTGCAGCTAGCACAGCCAAACAGGCACAGGACTGGAAGGTCAGGATGAGCGGTAAGGGAGCACTTTGGATCCCGAGGCCAAACCAGCTCTCCTTGTCACAGCACTGAGCATGGCAAGGACCAGCAAGCAGCAGATCTACCTCCCAGAACACTTTGCCCTCCCAACCCTCACCCTTCACTGACTGCCCCTACCTCCCCCACTGCCACAATTCCCGAGAGCTGGCTCTGTTAACAGCCACTGCTTCTCCTTCCTGCTCCAAGGACACCAGCCTGGCCTGAACAAGCTTCACTCCCACCTGTGCTGCCCAGAAACACAAGGGACATTTCTCCAGCAGCCGTGCCCAAATCGCACACAACAGCATTTATCAGGGCTAGGATAAGACTAGGTAAAAACATTTCTGAGTATGCCTTTACTGGTGAAGCTTAAATTAGTATTTAGTGTCAAAACCAGTGCCAACATGGAGCACTGATAAGGCCCAAGGAAAGCAACAGGCCAAGAGAAGCAGAGATCTTCACCAGGGCCCATTGGTGCAGCTGCAGCACAGCTGGGTGACCTGAGAACCTGAGCCTGACAACACCTCCACAAACAGGATCACTAACTGGCAAGGCTGCCTAGTGAGGTGAGTGCTGCCAGCGACTCCCACACTGAGACGGAACAATCCGTGTCCTTATCCTAAAGGTTTGGTCTTTAACTGCTGAGAAACACCACAGGCCCAAACCCTCCCAAACACCTGTGCAACATTACCCTCCTCGACTCGCAGCCACACAGGAATTTTCCAAGGAGTCCTGAGCCACAGCAAGTTACTCCAAATGCCAAATATCCAGCAGCACTGAACAGAAATGCTTTGAATGAAGTGATCAGCTGGCTGAATTATAAACGTAACATTGACGTAATCTTACGTTTTACAATTCACCTTGGGCTCTGAGATCATACAACATTCGCTTTCTGAGAAGCCAAAAATCCAACTTTCCCCGATTTTGGTCATGTTAGAAATTGCTGAAACCAAACCCTGTACTTCACATCCATAAATTAAAAAGTACAAAATATTATACAGACTATGTAATGCACTGAGTCACTGAAGCTCATGAATAAAACATCTGCGTTCGTTTTGCTGCAGATTAAACGAGGATCTCAAGAGTGAGTGTTTCAGAGACAGGTTTTCCAGGCTGCTCCGACACATTTCCATGGCAGTGGTATAAGCTCCATGCAGTTTGAGTCACCTGCCTGCAGAACTGCTGGGCAGGATGAAGTGATGCTTTGCAGCAGTTCCCAGACTCACTGGTGCAGGCAGCAGAGAGAGGTGCAGCCCTGCAGGACTCTGCCTGCCACTGGCACTCCCACCATCCTGTCCCACACACAACCAGCACAGGAGAAACAAATGTGCTCTGTTTCTTCTAACATGGACCTAAAAAGCTGAGGGGAAAGTGGGTGTGGCTTCAGAGGAATCAAATACGCAGCAGTGCACGTTGGTTCGAGGAATCTGTATTTTTAGTGCAAGGATTTTCTCTTCCACAATGAAAGAGCTGGCACGGAAATGCAGGATGTTCAGCCTTAATGACTTCTTAAAAGGTTTCTCTGAGACTTCAAGTGACTTAGTCCCTTTAAGAAAGGCAAAAATAATAGAATATGAAAAACGTGTTGTGCTTACAGTTTTGTGTCTCTGCTTTGGCCCCAGAGGTTGCAGAGCTCAGACAGGGCAGTCAGGATCAGAGAGCAGCTCACCAGTGCTGCACATGCACCAAAACCCCCTCAGAAATGACAGTCTGGGAATGAGAGCAGAACAAGCTAAAAGATTGATCAGCTGGGGAAGAAGTCAGCCCATTTCAAGTGGTGCTTCCTTTGACTGAACATGCTGCTGCACTGGTGGCCAGAGACACTCCTGTCACTGAACATCATTTCTGGAGAGCCCGAATTTCAGTGCCCAGTCTGGTGTGCTCTCACAGCTGAAATCTGCACCACCAAAGAAACATGAGGAGTTTTGGAAAAATAAGCTCTCACCAGACAGAAAAGAGTAAAGATCCCTCTCTGGAGCCTGGAGAATCCCTGCAGAGATACTGCCCCGGACACAGGTTCAGCTGTTAAAATTAACGCTGATTTCTGAGACAGGGAGAAAAGCTGCTGGCAAACAAGAGGTACCACGGCTCAGATTAGCGCACTCCAAGCAGCGCAGCGCGCCAGCTGCCCAGCAGAGGGGGAGGAAGGGAGAGGGAGCACTGGAGGCACTCACTCTGGGGTGAGCAAACAGCGAGCACAGTGTCGCTGCAGCTGCCAGAGTTCCAGCACCCCTGCCACCTAGAGGGACAAACGGCTGAGGAGCTGAGCGCTGTGCGCTCCAGATCCCACACAAGGCCGCAAGCCTAGGGATCACACACTCCTACAGCACCACCCAACGCTCTGCGCCGCTGACAGTCCCTTACGTCACTCGAGGTTAAGAGGAAACGGATGGATATTGAAGAAAGCATCCCAAAATAGCAGAGTTCAGGAGGGCGAGAAATGTCAGTGATCCAAGCATCTCGTTTCCCCTCAGAGCTGTGTAAAAGCAGCTGAAATTCTGTCAGCTGAAGTGTGAGAATGGAGTTCTCCCACAGAAAACGTTTTAAGGAAAGGGAGTCTCTCTGCAGGTCAGTTTGGGGTTTTGGCTTATTAAACAAGTCTCTCAGTTTCGCCACATTTTACATTAAGATGTCTGCAATCCTGGAGACATTTCCAAAAATACTGCGGGTTGGGTTTAGTCTAGATTTTAGCAGCTCCTGATGACAGTTTCACAGTCAGTTTTGCACCACAGGCACAAAGGGAATAAATAACTTGAAAGTGGCTGATGTAAAAGAGGTTGTACTTTACTGTAGGCACCACCAGCTTTGATCAGATCACTTCACATTCCAAACTGAGTCGGAGAAGCAGCTCCTCAGTGCCCAAACCTCCGAGAAGAAAAGCTTTACTCTGCTTTGTCCTATGCCCAAGTTCACGGCAGCATCATCAGAGGGAGGACTGAGCACAACATCTTCATCTCACAGCTCACACTGCAGCCACAGGTACTCACACCGAGCACACACTCAGGGGAAACTCCTCCACTGCACTGCCTGGGCCACAGGCACAGAAACTAACGGACCCAACTGAATCCTCATCTTCGGAATGAAGAGCTTCTGTTTCCCACTGTTAGAAACTGCTGTGCCACAGCAGGAAACAACTGACACCAAGCTACACAGCCTATGGAAAATGCTACGGTTTGAGGCCAAAAAGTGCTGCTCGACTATGAGAAACTTCACCCCAACTCATCCCCATCTCAGACCACCATCTCTGAGAGCCAGACTCTGCACAGGCTGTGAAACAACCAAACCACCTCAGCCCCAGCTAATGCTGCCCCGAGCAGAACGGTGGGAAACGCAGAGAGAAATCATCCTCTATTGTCAGCCGAACTTTATCCATGCTATTTAGCTCGCCTATTTTTGATAGCTGGATGATAATGATAATCTCTCCGTTTAAAGCAAATTAGAGAGTACCTCCTTGACAGCTCCACAACAGGCGCTACTGGGAATAGCAACCCGTGGGAGTACACACGGCAGTGCCCCGGGCTGGGAGTGCTGCCGGCCCCGGGACACACGGCAGCATCCCGGGACAGTGCCCCGGGACACACGGCAGCGCCCAGGGACAGTGCCCCGGGACACACGGCAGCGCCCCGGGACAGTGCCCCGGGCTGGGAGCGCTGCCGGCTCAGGGCACTGCCCGGACGCAGCTCTC